CAAGACTTCGAATCATCACGATTAGATTTTTTTTCTTTTACATGATCAAAACTCCTTATACCTTCATTTACAATGATTTAAACTCCTTTCCAAACACCAAATTATTTTGAAGGCCCAAAAATGAATTTTCAAACAACCGCCACTTAATCACAACTTTCTCTTTTCTTTCACCAATTGAGTGATTTTCTCTTTCTTTGTTTTTTTTTTTCTTTTTTTTTTTCTTTTTTTTTTTGGATGTAATATCCCTTCCCAAACTTAGCTTGAAAAACACATCCGAATTAGAGCTCATGAATTCCTTAGAAAGGTAAATATTTGTTTTTCGGGCTAAGGCGAGGAAATATAATTGGTAAAATGAAAGAAAAGGTTTACATGTAGGCTCAAAATGGTTAACAATGGAAAGTCATGCTTAAGCATGCATAAGGTTTACATGTAGGCTCAAAATGGTTAACAATTGAAAGTGAAAGAAGCGATGAGGAAGATGACGAACCTAAGTCTTGGAAGAAGAACCGATAAGAGCGTTGCCTAGAGCACGGAAAGGATTGGCGGAAGAAGATGAGCCTGGAACCGCACGAGCTGCTCCACGAGTTATGAGCTTATGCATCGCCATGGTCGATGCTCTTCGTCTTCTTATTCCTCTTCAATCTATAACATAATTGTTATTAAATAAAAGATTATAAAATAATAATAATAAATAAGTCGGCTGTTTCTCAAAATTGCACCCAAAAGGGCAAAACCGTAATCTAATATAACTGTTGAATTGAAAAAATCAACAGCTGTTGATTTTTGGGTTTATTTTGGGTGTGTTTATATACATTAAATAGTATAGGGTTTATTTATAGTTTTATGTCTAGGAATGTGTATTTAACTAAATTTCTATAAAATGTTTTGTTTAATTACAGTGGGGGAACAGATTACACATGTTGATATGTCACATGAGATATTCAAATATTTGCATATAAAATAATGCAAGATGATCATGGTAAGTGTACAATGATTGATTCTTTATTCTTGACTGCCAAACCACCTCCATGGAATTATGTCCCTCAAAATATCGTCCCACTAAATCTTTGTTTTCCACACATTATTGTCCCATATGATTGATTCTTTCTTGGCTAGCCTCAGGGACCAAGTAGTTAAGGTGTCACTTCTCATACTTCAAATTTCTTATACCGTCCACTTTTTATGGAGAACTCAACATTATAGTTTGTAATTTAGATCGTTTATTTTTTAAGTCTTAATAAAAAATTAGTCGTGCAGAAGGGACAAACACGAACAAAATCTAAAAAATAAAAAGAAATGGATCGATATTGTATATCTTTGTTTTGTGAACTTGTGATCTAGCTAGTCTTGATTTTGATAATGATCTTCGAATTTAAATTAAAATGCCAAGTAAAAAATTATATGATTGGTCTTCAAATTTGAATTAAAATGTCAAGGACAATTACATGACAGAGCAGTTGTTTGGTTCTGGATATTCACAAACCACTCCATAATACATTGAAGGACACTGCGGAGCACAATAGCTGGCTGATGATATCCATTGAACTGGTGGAGTTGGCTTTTCCTCTTTCTTATCAGCTTTAGCTTCCTTCACTTCTTCAACTTTGACAATGGTGGCGTTGCGAAGCTTCTTCCTTAACAATCTGGTCAAGCAAACAGAACAAACCCCATCTCCAATCACCTCAATGTGATCTTTGTCTGCTCCTTCGATGGACACTTTGCTCACACCTGCTTTATATATATTTGTTTCAAGTTTTTTAACCCTCAAAATCAAATTGCTAATTAAATTTAGTGGGTGAGCA